AACCCTTCCCCACGGGGGCTCCTGCGACCCTTTTACCAACAGGCTTTAGCAACTCCTGCGTTGCAGGCAGCTGCCAACCCGGACACAAAACAGCGCCTGTAAGAGCAGATGGTTCCCCAGCGGGCCCAGCCGCTTCCACGTCTCCAGCACAAAGCTGGACCAACGTCAAGCAGCACTCAGGTCTTACGGAGCATCTTGACTTTGTTTTGTGCTCTTTTTAAAGCTCCACCTCCTGGAAATCAAGTGATGGCAGAAGGACTTAAAAAGAGATTTTCCAAGCATTACTACCTCCAAGAACATCTCAGAAACAACAAAAGCCTGCTGGGTCCCATGGTCGAGGGCCCCTGGCATTTTTTGAGCTTTTTCCTCAAGGTTTCCTTGAGAAGGCCGAGGAAGGAAGGAAAATTAATCAGTTATGGCATTTTAAAATGCAGAGAAGGATTTCGTATACTAATATATCTGTTTCCCCTTTGTTTTCTTCATAAGAGGAAAAAGAATCATTCTGGTGGTATTTAGTTTGGGTTAAAGACAACCTTAAGCCCGTCCTTTGGGGGGCAAGAGGAGACAGTGAGAGGCAGTGTGGGTTCCCTGTGGTCATCTCTGCAGTCTGAACATTCCTCCAAGACAAACCCCAGCCGGAGCAGGACGGTGGCGTGAGAAAAGGCAGCTCTGTGGCTTCTGCCTGGCAGCTCTCGTCATCCTGGTCCAAACCACAGCCTGAGCTGGAGGCCTTGGTGTCTCCATCCCTGGTCCTGCTTGCACAACTGGCCCAAAGAAGCGGGTAAAGGGCATTCTGCAAACACTACCTCACCAGATCTGCTACCAAGGGAATCTAAGAGCGCCGGGACAGGCTGTGAGGCATCTCTGTGCCTGGAGCTAGGGTGGCATCAGTGGCATCTCCCCACACTCCCTCCCAGCAGTCCCCTGGGGAGCCCCCATGTCCCTGTGCCGCCCTGGGTGAGCTCCGAACAGGCAGCACCTCCCGCGAGGCATCAGCGGCCTGGAGACTGCACGGCTGCGAGTTGGATCAAATCAAGGACACGATGGTCAGGCAGTAGGTGTAAAACTGGGGCTGCGGCTGATCTGGGGCCTCATTCGTTTTGGCTCTAGGTGGGCTCCTTGGCTTCCTTTTGCCTTTGGGCGCGTTCCGGCCGTCCCCGCGCACGGCGGGCGCGCAGCTCCACCCTGTGGCACGGCCCCGCCCCCGCCTCGCCGCGCGCCCGCAGCCTGGCGGCCACGAGCCCTGCGAGACAGGAGCATGCAGAGACTTGCGGCATTTCTCCTGCAGAGGTACCTCACCTGTGACCTGAGCGCGGGGTCACCCAGCTCAGTCGCACCATGACACACGCCTGCCCGGTCCCCAGGTAACTTGGGGCCACAAGAGGAGTTCCTAGCATTCCTGGTGGGACAAGCTGCCTGGTGCAGAGGTGAGCAACACGAGCTGGAGGCCACCACAGAGCCCTGCGCA